GAACGCGGAAACAACTCCAGACATACTCAGCCACCTTATCTTTGACAAAGGAGCCAAACACCCTCACTGGAAGAAAGTTAGCCTCTTACAATAAATGGTGCTGGAAAAACTGGCTTTCCACATGCCAAACAAAAACTGAAACTAGACCCATATTTTTCACCATGCACCAAACTCAGATTAAAATGGATCAAAGATCTAAATATTAAAACAAACTCTAAATCTGCTGCAAAATAGAATAGGTAGAACTCTCAAAAACTTTGGTGTGGGCAAAGACTTCATGAACAAAACTCTGACTGCACAACATATATCACAAAGAATCAACAACTGGGATCTCATTAAAAACCTTTTGCACAGCAAGAGAAACCACCAACAGAGTGACAAGACAACCCACAGTGTGGGAAAAATTTTTTGCCAGGTGTTCCTCAGACAAAGGACTAATATCTACAATATAAGAACTCAAAAAAATCAGACCCCTCAAATTTAAAGACCCAATCCTAAAATGGACATATGAAATGAAAAGATACTTCTCAGATGAACTAGAAACGGCAAATAAATACATGAAAAAAATGTTCAACATCATTGGTCATTAAAGAGATGCAAATTAAAACAACACTGAGATTCCATCTCACTCCAGAAAGAATGGCTGTTATCAAGAAATCAACCAATAACAAATGCTGGAGAAGCTGTAGGGAAAAGAACCCTCCTCCACTGCTGGTGGGAGTGTAGACTGGTGCAACCACTGTGGAAATCGGTGTGGAGATACCTCAAAGAACTAAACCTGGAGGCTCCATTTGACCCAGGTATTCACCTTCTTGGTATCTTCCCAAAAGAATTAAAAGCATCATACCACAGTGATATATGCACACCCATGTTTATAGCAGCACAATTTGCAACAGCTAAATCTTGGAGAAAGCCCACATGCCCATCGACTGACAAATGGATAAAGAATATTCTTTTTTAAATACAATGGAGTACTACTCTGCCATAAAGAAGGATAAGCTTGAGACAGGTTTTAGCTAAATGAATGCACCTTGAGACCATACTCTTGAGATGAATCGAACATACCTGTTCAAACACTGCATTGTTTCTCTGGTGTGAGAAACTGAAAGAGGAAATAAGGACTGGAATGTACAACAGACACTGGGATATGGGAAGAAAATGTTCAAATGAGAAGGGGAACAAGGGAGGGGGGAGGGGGAAAGGAAAGATGGGAAAAGAAAAAAAGAAAATAGAAGGAAAAAATGGAAACAAAGCTTTTATGTAAGTAGGGGAAGAGGAGTTGAAGGGGGGAATGGGAAAACAAAGAAGATAATACATACACAGGCACAAATTCCCTATAATGAATGCTATCATTATGTATATCTAAAATGTACAATAAATGTTTTGCTTAAAAAAATAAAAGAATAGAGGCTTCCAATTCCAGAACAAGGCATCTCTGTTTATCTAGGCTTTCTTTTTTTCTTTTGGTACAGGGGATCGAACTCGGGTTCTTGCGCTTACGCAGCAGGCAGCAAAACCACTGAGCTAAATCCCTGGCCTTTTCTTTAATTTCTTAAGGAAATGTTTTAGCTTTTAATATAGAGCGAATTCAGTTCCCAGCTCCCTGCATTACAACAGGCCTAAAGTATTTTTTGTCCAGGCCCAATCCCCAGCCTCATAGGCCTATCTATAGTCCTGACAGCAATACAAAAACGATTAGTTACAGATCTCCACAGAGATCTGGCTTTGTGTTTTCCATTTGTAATGAGAATTGGGAATGTCACATCCTCTTATCAAGCTGCATTTACAGCTGGACTGGTGGCACACTCCTATAATTCCAGCACTCGGGAGGCTGAGGTAGGATGATTGCCTGAGTGCCAAGCCAGCCTGGGTGATAAATTGAATTCCAAGGCCAGCCTGGACTACATAGTGAGACCTTGTCTCAAAAAACTGAAAAAAAAGAAAAAAGAGTTTATTATCATGTGTTGGTCCCTTTTTGTTATCTAACCATATGGTGTATGAAAGCAGAATACAGTTTTGAAAGCAGAATATGTCTTTCATTGATAGTCAATTATAATATTTACAATGAAAGAATTTTTTTAATAGAATAAAAAATGATAGTGCATCTTACAATTGAGAGCATTTTTTCTTTTCTTTTTATAGTAGCAGAGATTGAACCAGAGGTACACTACCAGTAAGCTGCACTGCCAGGCTATTTTAACTTTACCTTATTTTATTATTTTTGGTACCAGGGATCAAACTCAGGACCTTGTGATTTCGAGGCAGGCACGGGAAACACTGAGCCAAATCCCCAGCCTATCTTACTTATTTTTATTTCCAGGTCTTTGTATTTTGAGACAGGGTCTCACTCAGTTGCCCAGGCTGGCCTAAAATTTAGTCTTCCTGCTTCAGCCTCTCATGTAGCTGGGATCACAGGCTTGTGCCACCTTGTCCAGCTAACTGCTGGCACTGTATAATATTCTCAGTTGTTAGAATTTAAATTACAGGCCCATGAAATTCCTTATTGAAAACAGCCAGGCATGGCAGCATACACCTGTAATCTCAGCAGTTGGGAGGCAGAGGCACAAGGATCAGCCAGTTCAAGGCCAGCCTGAGCTATATGCAGTAGTGAGTTCCAGGGAGCCCGATCTCTGTACTGAGATCCTGCCTCACCCCTCCTCCCAAAACAAAACTCTCAAAGTCAGGTGTGGTGATACATGCCTGTAATCTTAGCATGTGGGAGGCTGTGGTAAAAGGATTGAGAGTTCAAGGCCAGCCTAGATTACACCGTGAGTTTAAGGTCAATCTGGACTACATAGTAAGACCTTGTCTCAAAAATCAAACCAACCTCCTAAATCTGTTTATTATAGAGTCAGAAGAGTTCTTTACATGTATGGATATACAGAAACAAATCTCTTCCCTGGTATAGTAGTTCCTTTTATCATGGTTTTACTTTCCAAGATTAGTTTACTTACAGTTAATCCTGTTCTGAAAATACTAAATGGAAAATTCCAGAAATAAACAATTTATAAGTTTTAAATTGGGTGACATTCTAAGCAGCATGATGAAATCTCTTGCTCTCTTGCTGCTCATAAGCTATTTTGAGTTAATTTTTGTATATGGTATGAAATAAAGGTCCAATTTTATCCTTTTGTATGTGCATATGTATATTAATACAGAATTATTTATTGAATAATTATTCTTTCCTCATTGTTTTAGCACTCTTGTCAAAAACAAACTGAGGTCGGTGTAGTGGCACATGTCTGTTATCCCAGTTACAGGGGTGGCTGTCATAGAAGAATCACAAGTTCAAGGCCCGCCTGGGCAAGTAAGTGAGACCTTGTCTCAAAATAAAAAATGAGGGCCAGGGATTTAGCTCAGTTGAACTGGGCCTGCCTCGCAAGCTTAAGGTCCTATGTTTCATCCCCGGTACAAAAAAAAAATCCAAAAACGAAAGAAAAAGAAAGGAAGGAAGGAAGGAAGAAAGGAAGGAGGTAGGGAGGGAGGGGAGGG